TTAGAAAAATGATAAAGGTTGTAAACAGATTAGTATGGAAACATCTTTGCATTGTAATTTAGAGAAACCAGTTCTTGTTGAATTCTATTGTTGGACAGATCTAACTGTTAAGTTACATATTTTTAACAAATATGTATACTTTCATATGTAATTGATATATATTTTAAAAAGTAATATAAACAAAAATATGTCATTTTTGTTCAGGAAGTATGTCAGATTTTACACAAGAGTTTGTGTGGCTGAAAAATTACGCTTAGCAACTCGTTCGAAGATTTCTTGTACCAATTTTGTATTCCATTTCGTATTTCATTCTATTGAATGTATGGCACATGTCATTTATTATGTCATATTTATATACGTGTCGTCAATCCAACTGAATAAAACAAGAGATCTAATACCCAACTCGGTAATGCTAAATCAGAATTTGACTTTAAGATCTTGTTCGAACTCAATTCAAGAACACAACCAAGCTAGAACATATTAGTTTTGAGTTCGAGCTTAACTTATATAATTAGCCTCAACTGAAAATTTTGAACTATTTAAGATAAACCCAAACCCAAATTCAAGAATTTGATTTTTTTATTTTTTTTTTAAAAAAAATTCTCTATCTAAATTTAAGTAGTTCGAAGAATATCGTATTCCGAATCGACCCCACCGACCCGATCCATTTATACTTAGTGCATAAAACAGAAACAAGCACTATAAACATTCTCTCTTCATGAATTGGCCAAACAGTGGAAGACAAAACACATAAAGATTGCAATCTACAAACAATGGATTGCTAGCTATTGCTAGTGTTCTCAGGACAAATATACCATCCACTTTGTGGGCTGCTTTCATTTTTTTTTTTTTTTTTNAATCACACTTTATTAGGATTTTCACAATTCTTCCAAAAAATTCATTTTGCCCCACAAATTGCTTGTCAAATTTTCTACTCTTATCATAAACAGGAAAAAAAGAACATAGCCCACCGACTGAGAACGACATTAAGGGCGTGCAGTTTGTGGGATTGTGAGTTTGTGACAAGGAAAATTACTTTTGGATGAATTATTGCCTATAACTAATGATAACCAATGATATATATTATTCAATGTCTTTTGCTTCAATTGTCTTCCTGCCATGATGAAGAATCTTTATTCTTTCTGAGAGGCTCCAAAAATTTCCAAGGGTTATCATTAATAATATTTATGGTTTACACTTTGTTTGTAGTTTTTTGGTCGAATATCAGACTAGTAAAGATCTCGGGTCGTGTATCTAAGTAAAGGCTATTTGAAATTGGATTAAAGCGATGATTGATCACAAAGAAAGGATAACTAAAGTTAGGCATTTTAAGCACAATGTTGGAGAGAGTAATTAAACTAAGAGAAATGACAATGATTTAAAGCATAACACTCAAAGAAAAAAAGACTAGAAGAAGATAGAGCTAGAAAACATACATTTGAACAATCAGACACTAGACACACTAGAAGCTTGTTTGGAAACACTTTTCAAATGGACTTTTAGATGCAAAAGTCCATTTGGATAAATATTTATATTTGGTGCTAAATTAAGAATAACTTATGAATAAGTTGTTTCTCCAACAAGTTCATTCTGTAAAAGTAAATGATGGAGACTTTTGGAGAGTCCATTTTGCATAAGTTCATGTCTTAAATGAACTTTTTCAAAAGTGCTCCCAAACAAGCACTAGATTGTAAAAGTTGAGCAATCATATCACGCATTAAGTCAAAAGAAAAAAATATAAATATGTCAATAAAGTTTACCTCAGCTGATAATGTGCACGTAGACAAATATAAATTAAAAAGTATTATAAATTATGTATATATATATCACATTTTATAAATTTGATTATTAATAAATGAATAATATAAATATAAATTATTTAACTACAAAAGAATCTATATATTGATTGCATAAAATGTAACACATAACATATTGTTTTGTTACTTTGAAGAATCATGACCAATTAATTATCTAGAAAAATATTAAAACAATAATATTTATTACGTAAATTGTTTAAAGGATTTTTTTGTGCCATTAAATTAATTATATGATTAAAAAACTAATATTACCTTTAGAATAAATAGCTTGAAAAAATACAATATAATTTTTTATGATTATATAACTTACGTATACCATTTAGTGTGAATTATAATTAGTTGATTTTAGTATTAACTATTGTATGATAGAATAATTAATATATTATAATTAAACTTAATTAATAAAAATTACCTTATTAAGTCCAAANTATATATATATATATATATATATATATATATATATCATTTTTAATTGGTGTGAGAACCGTATTTGATCCTATTTTTAATTGTGAATGATGCTATTTTTCATATTAGATGATACTATCATTTTTACAAATGCTAACAGAAATTGTGTTGGTATTTTGTAATAAAATTCATTCTGGTTAAAAATAGCACCAAACACAATCAATCGTATAGCACGACGCACAATTAAAAATAGCGGTACCTATTATATATATATGTTGGTTCAAATAAAAACTAGTCCTGGTATGAGAACTATATTTGATGCTATTTTAAATATTACATGGTGCTATCATTTTCGTAAATACTAATATAAATTGTGTTGATATGTGTAATAAAATACATCATTGTTAAAAATAGCACTAAATCACAATCAAACATAACACTACGTATAATTAAAAATAATGGTTCTCACAGTTCTCACACTAGGACTTAGTTCTCATATATATGTATAGATGCTTAGTTTCAGACTTAGATACGAGCGTATCGGATCCCATAAAGCAAGTCAAACTTTGATTAAAGTCCCGACCTTTACCAAGCATGTAATTAGATTACCAATCACTTTTAAAATAACACTAAATTTCAAGATTACATGCAGGCATGTCAATAAAACCCCTAGGGTCGAGTTACCCGTATTTTCGAGTTAAGTAAACAGAGATGATCGAGTTTCGGGTCGGGTTCGGATAGAATTAAGTTACCCGAACCCCGATCGGGTGGGGTTTGGGTATGATAGAAAAACCCGTTACCCGACCCGTTTACCCCGCAAGCAAATATATATATATATATATATATATATATATATGTATATATCATATTATAGATATAAAATTAAATTATTTATTATAATTTGGTTAATGGTTTAGATTTTATTTTATTTTTCTTATTTTTTTATCAGTTTTCCTTTTAATTGTACAATATAAAATTTAAATACTTAAATTTTTAAATATTATATTATTAACTAGACCATAAAAAATAAATAATTATTTCTCAATATTTATTCCAAAATAATATAGATTTTTTTATAGTTATTTTATTGCTAAACTTTGTTAATAAATTGTTAGTTATATTATATTTAATTGTGGAATTATTTTATTTAATTTTTTTACACATGAACGGGTCGGGTCACGTTTGGACCAAGTAAAACCCAAATTTAAGAATTTGAGTTACCCATTTACCAACGAAGACCCGATAACCCGTTGGGTAAAACTCAACCCGAACCCGAAGTTCACTAACGGGTAACGGGCCAAGTACAGGTAGGGTAAACTATATGCGGGTCGAGTTCAAGTCTGTCAAAATCCGCACCCGACCCGACCCGACCCGACCCGACGCATCCCTTTTACATGCTCCATTGGACTAACGGATTTGCCTATCATACTCATGAACTATTCTATATTTCTTATAAATATCAACATTAAGCAAAGATATGAAAAACTAACGGATAGTGCCTTTCACCAAGTTTTCAACTTTCTAATAACATCCACAAATACTCAAAAGTTTAAAGTCGCAATCTTCATGAATAAAAACCATACTTGGGAACACTCAAAAGAGGCAAATATGAAAGTGAAAATGAATAATAATTTGTTACCGCAAGTGGATTAGAAAAAATGTGTTTTGTACAAGAAATTCACCCAACCTAATTATAGATTTAGAGGACTTGCGAGCCAAGAGTACTATTGGTGGTTGGACTTACTACCGTTGATCGATTGCAATACGAAAATATCCAAGTTGCACTTTTGTACAAAAGTGTATAAAAATAGTTTTTAAAAAAAATACATAAAATTCAAAAATGACATGAAAATACAAATACTAAGATTGAACTCAAACGACTNATTGGCTACTTCTCGCTTTGAAATATCTTGATATTTAGGCTTAGGCCCCAAATTTCTAAGAATAGCCCATGGGGTGAGCCCATCATGTACCTATACAATCAACTATCTCAAAAGTTTTATATATTTAGGTCTCATTTACTTCGCTTGACAGGACATGATAAGTAAAACTATCCCTTAATATCAAATGTTTACATAAAATGATTGAAACATGATTGAATTGATGTGGCGCACATGTGGACTGTGGGCCCCATTGCTTATCAAATATTGGAGGATTAAATAGTCCTGCCCCCACCCAGGATTTTTTTATCCCAACTTTTTCTTTGCAGATTTGTGGGTCCCACTGTTCAAACAATCTCATCTCACAATGTAACACTGGACTAAATGCTGACATGTAAAGTTGTCCTGCTTATTTTCTATAATCCCATCAACCAAAGTAAATGAAGCCTAAATCTATAATTAGGTTAGTCCATCATTTCTCCCTTTTTTTTATGCATATATATATATACATATATATATATATATATTAATTGATCATGATTCTCATCATGGTACACTGATAATTGATCAAATGCAATGGTTATTAATTGGTCTCACACAACCTAAAGTGAAAAAAAGATGTACACTTTAAAAAACCTCACTAATTTCTAAAGCTATACACTTTACAGATACTTGAATTTTAAACTGTATGTGCAGGATCTGTAATATAATTGTGCTGATTGCTTGTACTTTTTTTTGCCACATTTACTAAAGGTGGTGGGATATGATAAAACCCAAATATACAACTTTATGCAGTGTTTATTTACCTTGATGGAAAATGGGATTGCGCCTACGTGTCATGTGGAGTCCCACGTGCTAATCCCGTAATGACCGATAATCATCCACCTCAGCCCTAAACCCCATCTCCAACAATCAAACCTCAATAAATTGTCTTGCTTCAAGTGTCATTTTGCTTGTTGATTCTAATATATGATGTAAGATTTTTCTGCTATGCAATAGCAACATGTAAATCCCAAATGTAGTATCAAACTATCAATTGTTTATTATCATTGGTTACTAACTAATCAAACATTTATAACATACTCATAACACACAACACTTCAAACTTGTCATCAGCCTACAGACGACAGAACAAAACAAATTCGTGCGTGTAGATTTGCACAGTGATTTACAGACACATTTGTAAGACGAGAAAAGAGTCATCTGTACATTGATAAGGAGTCGTGTCTCGAAAACATGTCTAAACTGCAGGTATGTTTTCAAAGGAGAAACCTTTGTAACCCTTGTAAGCATAGTAGGCAATTCGTGTATAATAAAATCCTGGAAGAAAAAGAATCCCACCAAGTATAGCGAAAAATGTCCCTGAAAACACAACATTGTATCAAAATAAAAGTAACAACAACGAAGGTAAAAAACGGAAAGGAGATATGTGATTGGGGAGAAAAAGTATTAATATAAGCTTAATGCACATGGAGAAAAAGGGTAAAGCAGAACAAACAATATCTCCAGAAGAAATCTATCATGGACATGAGGTGACAAACATAGCAAATCAAGAAATACTTCACAATCCATTTTGATTTATGTAAACTGAACTAAAATGATCAATCTTGATTCCTCCCGACACATTTCATTGTGTGATATGTACATAAATACGAGCAATCAAGAAATACTTCACATCCATTTAACGGCGTTATCTCTTATCTATTGTTTTATTCTTTTACACAGTTGAACTTGCGAACTGCGTACATTTATAACAACCTATACTGTCTGGTACTTCTGCAGAAAGTGAGGTACCTCGAAAAGAGCTGATAATTCAGAGCAGTCATGTTCTTGAAGCAAGGGAAATTTAGGCAATCAAATGTCACATAACTTTAAACTCATATCGAGCAATAAAAATCCGATCTTCCCTTGCTTGCTCACTTTAACTTTGATCGTTAAGCAGTCGTATAAAGAACAGTATACAACACGATTCCACATGAGTGAGTTAATCCAAGTGTACAAACCCGGTTAGGGCAAGCCCTCGAATTTTTCCTAATTCACAACAATAATTTGTGAAAATTCACTACATAATATGATGCAACACTCATCTATTCCTGAACGCATATCACAACGAATTAGAACCTTAAAATTAAAACCCCCAATACCTCAAAACTGATTAGACATACCGAAACCCTAATCGTCCAGAAAAGGGGAAAAAAACAGCCACAATAAAAATCAAACCTTTACAACCACAGCCAGCAAATAACCCTCCAATAAATCAATAAACCCTAGACGGAACAGTCAATAAGCCACACATCGAAGGGAAAAACTGGAAAAAAAAATTACCGTGAGCTCGGTCCCCGCCGACTCTATTGACGGCCATGGCGACGCCGAGAACGATCCCTAGGGCGCCGAAAACGAGGAGCGAGACGGCGAGGGCGATCTCCTTGATCGGTGGGCGATTGTTGATGTACGAGGTCTCCATCATTATGTCCTCGTCCGATATAGAGAACGCGTGGTCCACGTACGCCATTGTTTTACCTTCGAACAGAGTACCAAATTGGGTTTATTTCTCGTTTCACCCTTTTGCTGGTCTTGCTCGTAATTCACGGCCAAAAGGAGAAATTTATGTGGGGGGAAATGGAAGAAAAGAGAGAGAGAGAGAGAGCTTTCGTTGCTTGAAAAGAGGGTCTCTAATGGCGTGACTGTTATGAATTTTGCTGGTGTTGAAGAAGTGAGTTCTGCCTGCTTTTGAGGTGGAATATTTTAATGAATCGTGATCTCGTTGGACTTGAGGGAAAAATTGTTAATTGGTACTCTAACTTTACTCGCTTTAGTTTTTAGTACCCGAAATTTTTACGTAATCAATTTTAATACCAAATATTTCGTCGTAAATCAATTTTGATTTAAACCGTCAAATTTTCCATCCATAATAACTTTACAATAGAGATTTTAGTTAATTAAAAATCTAATTAAAGGTTAAGAGGTATTTATGAATAATTAAAACCTTATTAAAATATTATTATAATATTAAATATAAAAATAAACATACCGTCTTTTCCAGCAGTATCGCCGCCGCTTCCGCTAATGCCACCGGCCATTCCCCCTGCCACCGACCCCAACCGCCTGCTGTTAACAGATTTTTAAATATTACTCAGTAAACTTTGGCTAATTGTTATTCGAGATCCGGACTTTTATGAAAATATATATGTATAAAGTCCTTAAAAATTCAATGGTATCTCCCAATCTCCAATCTGATACTTCATTCACTGATTTTTTTTTTTTCAAAATTATATGTCGAAACGTTGAGTACAAAAACTAATTAGGTAAAATTTTAAGTAAATAAAATGAAGGACGAATAAAGTTGGGGTACCATTATTAAATATTAACTAACAATTTTTCTCTTGGACTTTTACTTTCCAAAATTTTGCTTTTTTTTTTTTCTTTTTAATAAAAAGCTATTTAATACAAAAATGGTTTCTCAGGAATGTCGTCATCTATATAGCATTAATACAATCTCACTATGTATTTTGAGACCTGAATTTTATTTTTTAAAAATCCATTTTTGTGCTCGTATTAGATGCTTTTCGCTTTGGTAGGGGTGCTATTCAATCTTAATAAATTAGTTGGCTCGACTTTGCCTTTGCTTGTTTCTTCGCCTTAAATAGTAAGCTATTTGCGAACAAGTTTGCTTTGAATATTTCATTTAAAATTCATATAAAAAAAATATTAGTGCTTCGCGAACAAGCTCACCTCGTTTAATATTAAACGAGATCGATTAGTTATTCGAGTTCTACATAAATGAGTTCAAAATTTCACGATACGACTGAGTTGTATTCACGAATCATTAGGATTGTTCAACTACTCTAGCTTCTAGTACTCAATCTTCTAGCTTAATCAAATTTGGTCACTAAAAATTACAAAATCAATCTCAGCTAACAGCTTCCACCGTCGCCTCTGGTGGTGGATTTCAACGAATCATACAATATTTCGAAGATTTCTACTCATTATATCCAATGAATATCATCAATTTCATCATACGAAAGTTTAAAGTTAATCAAAATTGTCGTCATAGTTAACGAAAACTTTCACTGATGGATTCTTGTGAAAAATATATGTAAAGAAATCTATTTTCTCGAAAAAATTAACCATTAGTGTGCTAAATTTTAATGGTTCAGTTCGATTTTATTGTAAAATATGTCACATTTGAACATAATAATTTCCTAATTACAACTCCCCATTGCACGTGTGGATGTAAAAGCTACAAAAATCAAGCTGCTGAAAGACAGTTCCCAGTAGAAGAATTGAAGCAGTCCAAACAGACTAGTGAAAAATAATGGAATTCATCATCATTCTTGAATTTTTATTTTTATTTCTTCTCTTCTACCAATAGTTCCATTTAAAGTCATGTAGAATATATATTTTGCCCATGCCATGTCAAAATCAAGTGTTTGTTCGAATTTGGCCAAACCCAATTATTATTAACTTTTATCATGTGGTTGGTCATTCCTCTATTGCATTTAAATATTTGAACATATAAGAATTATTATTTTTGTATCATCTGGTACTTGAAATAGTTTTGTTAGGCAAATAAATATTAGGGTGGTGATTATACAGCTTTTTT